TCAGGTGGTCAAGGGGTCACTCAGGGGTGCTTTGAGTGGTCAGGGGGTCACTCAGGGGTCATTTAAGGGTCATTTGGGCAGTCAAAGGGGCATTGAGGGGTGGTTTGGGGTCACTCAGGTGGTCAAGGGGGCACTCAGGGGTCATTTGAGTGGTCACAGGGTCATTGAGGGATGGTTTGGGGTCACTCAGGTGGTCAAGGGGTCACTCAGGGGTCATTTAAGGGTCATTTGGGCAGTCAAAGGGTCATTCAGGGGTGGTTTGGGGTCACTCAGGTGGTCAAGGGGTCACTCAGATGTCAGCCAGGGGTCATTTGAGTGGTCACAGGGTCATTGAGGGATGGTTTGGGGTCACTCAGGTGGTCAAGGGGTCACTCAAGGGTCAGTCAGGGGTGGTTTGAGTGGTCAAGGGGTCATTTAGGGGTCATTTGGGGGGTCAAAATGTCATTCAGGGGTCATTTAAGGGTCATTTGGGTGGTCAAAGGGTCATTGAGGGGTGGTTTGGGGTCACGCCGGGGCGATTTAGAGGGTCAAGGGGTCACTCAAGGGTCAGTCAGGGGTGGTTTGAGTGGTCAAGGGGTCATCTAGGGGTCATTTAAGGGCCATTTGGGCAGTCAAAGGGTCACTGAGGGGTGGTTTGGGGTCACGCCGGGGCGATTTAGAGGGTCAAGGGGTCACTCAAGGGTCAGTCAGGGGTGGTTTGAGTGGTCAAGGGGTCATCTAGGGGTCATTTAAGGGCCATTTGGGCAGTCAAAGGGTCACTGAGGGGTGGTTTGGGGTCACGCCGGGGCGATTTAGAGGGTCAAGGGGTCACTCAGTGGTCATTTGAGGGGTCAAGGGGTCAGTCAAGGGTCATTTGGGTGGTCAAGGGGTCATCTAGGGGTCATTTAAGGGTCATTTGGGCAGTCAAAGGGTCACTGAGGGGTGGTTTGGGGTCACTCAGGGGTGATTTAGAGGGTCAAGGGGTCACTCAGGGGTCATTTGGGTGGTCAAGAGGTCACTCAGGGGTCATTTAAGGGTCATTTGAGTGGTCAGAGGGTCATTGAGGGGTGGTTTGGGGTCACTAAGGTGGTCAAGGTGTCACTCAGGGGTCATTGGAGTGGTCAAGGGGTCATTTAGGGGTGGTTTGGGGGGTCAAAAACGTCACTCAAGGGTCGTTCGGGTGGTCAAGGGGTCACTGAGGGGTGGTTTGGGGTCACTCAGGTGGTCATTTAGGGGGTCAAGGGGTCACTCAGGGGTCATTTGAGTGGTCAAGGGGTCACTCAGTGGTCATTTGAGGGGTCAAGGGTCAGTCAAGGGTCATTTAAGGGGTCAAAACATCACTCAGGGGTCACTTAAGGGTCATTTGGGTGGTCAAAGGGTCATTGAGGGGTGGTTTGAGGTCATTCAGGTGGTCAAGGGGTCACTCAGGGGTCATTTGAGGGTCATTTGGGCAGTCAAAGGGTCATTGAGGGGTGGTTTCAGGGACCCAAAGGTCATTGAGGGGTGGTTTGGGGTCACTCAGGTGGTCAAGGGGTCACTCAGGGGTCAGGGGAGGTCATTGGGTCACGGAAGCCAAAGGGGCTTTGGGTGTGGTCAGTGGGCATGGTCAGCAGTCAGGGGGCGTGGTCAGCAGTCAGGGGGCGCGGTCAGTTTGGGTGTGGTCAGTTTGGGTGTGGTCAGTGGGCGTGGTCAGTTTGGGCGTGGTCGGGGGCGTGGTCGGGGGGCGTGGCCTCACCTGGCACTTGAAGGGCCGCTCGGTGGAGTGCACCTGCCGGACGTGGCTGTTCAGGTGGTCCGGCCTGCCGAGTGACCACGGGTGACCAATGGTGACCAGGGGTGTGGTCAGCGAGTGACCACTGACCAATGGTGGCCAATGGTGGCCAATAGTGACCAATGGTGACCACCACTGACCAATGGTGACCAATGGTGACCACCACTGACCAATGGTGGCCAATGGTGGCCAATGGTGGTCAGTGATCACCACCAGTGACCAATGGTGACCAATGGTGGCCAACGGTGACCAACGGTGGCCAACAGTGACCAATGGTGACCAGTGGTGATCAATGGTGGCCAACAAATGGTGGCCAATGGTGGCCAACAGTGACCAATGATCACCACCAGTGACCAATGGTGGCCAATGGTGACCAATGATCACCACCAGTGACCAATGGTGGCCAACAGTGACCAATGGTGACCATTGGTAGCCAACGGTGGCCAACAGTGACCAGTGGTGATCAGTGGTGACCAACGGTGTGGTCGGCGAGTGACCAGTGTCACCAGTGCCACCGATGACCGTGACATTGTCCCCAAGTCTCACCAGTCCCACCATGACCCCAACAACCACAACCCAACGACCCAACGATGACCCCAAACCCCACCACGACCCAATGGCCACCGTGACCCAACAATGACCCCAAACCCACCATGACCCAATGGCCACCGTGACCCAACGATGACCCCAAACCCCCCATGACCACCACCATGACCCAATGACCACCATGACCCAATGATGACCAAGACCCCCCATGACCCAATGACCACCACAACCCAACGATGACCCCAAACCCCACCATGACCCAACGACCACCATGACCCAACGATGACCCCAAACCCACCATGACCCAATGGCCACCGTGACCCAACGATGACCCCAAACCCCACCATGACCAAGTCCCACCATGACCATGACCCACCATGACACAATGACCACCATGACCCAACAATGACCCCAAACCCCACCATGACCACAACCCAATGATGTCTCCAAGACCCCCAATGACCCAATGACCACCACAACCCAACGATGACCCCAAACCCCACCATGACCACAACCCAATGATGACCCCAAGCCCACCATGACCCAACGAAGACCCCAAACCCCACCACAACCAAGACCCACCAAGACCCAAAGATGACCCCAAACCCCACCATGACCGAGACCCGCCATGACCCAACAATGCCCAATGACCACCATGACCCAACAATGACCAAGACCCCCCATGACCCAATGACCACCATGACCCAAAGATGACCCCAATGACCCACCACGACCAAGACCCACCATGACACAATGACCACCATGACCCAATGACCACCACAACCCAACAATGACCCCAAACCCACCATGACCAAGTCCCACCATGACTCAACGACCCAACGATGACCCCAAACCCCACCACAACCCAACGATGACCCCAAAGCCCATGATGATCACGCCCCAACGATGACCCCAAACCCCATGACCTCAACCATGACCCAATGACCACCCCAACCCAACGATGACCCCAAACCCCACCACACCCCAACGATGACCCCAAAGCCCATGATGATCACGCCCCAACGATGACCCCAAAGCCCATGATGATCACGCCCCAACGATGACCCCAAACCCACCATGACACCAAGACCCACCACGCCCCAACGCTGACCCCGAACCCCGTCGCCGCCCACCTGGAGAAGCTCTTCCCGCAGTGCCCGCAGGCGTAGGGCTTGTGCACATGGCCCTGGTGCGAGCGCACGTGCGACGCCATCCTGTCCTTGCGCTTGAAGCGCTGCTGGCACACCGGGCACTGGAAGGGCCTCTCGTCCGTGTGCGACAGCCGGTGCCGCTTCAGGTGGTACACGTCGCGGAACGCCTTCCCGCACGTGTCGCACGCGTGGCTCTTGCGTGCCGCCGCGCGCTTCGCCGCCGCCGCCGCGTCGCCTTCCTCACCTCCTCCTCCTCCTCCCTGGGGGGCGTCCAGGAGGTCTTGGGGGGGGGGCAGCAGGGTGGGAGAGGGGCG